CGAATCACTCTTTCATTTATTGTTCTAACACACAGCTAGTAGGGCGTGTGTTCATAAACAATATATAACAGCCGAAATAATATCTGATTAAATAAGATCTTTACCACCCCTACTGTGGAGCGCAATAAACATCTTAAAATATTAGAAATATAAATCCCCAGCTGGCTGGGAATTTCATAAAATAGAAATCCAAAACGTTAATATGGCATCCTACCTGGGTGGGCATTGAACATAAAATCCCAACATAATAAAGGATTTTTTTAGGCTTGGCAGAGGATGATTAAACACATATAAATCTTTGAGTTAATTTCTAGGTAGTTCACGCTGGCCAGGTAAAACCGATTCTTCCTTCCTTACAGCCATGGGGATGGGGGTTCTGGAAGGATGGGGACATGGGTCCAGATGTAATAAACTCGTAATCTCATAAAGACATAAATATTTATTTTTGACTGAAGGTCGATTCCAATTTTCAAGCCTGTTCAGCAGGGAGAGTCCATCATTAGACATTAACTGAAAGCAGCTCTAGTTTTTGTAGAGTTGGTAATGATGAAATCAGTCAGGCCATCTAACATATGCACGCACATACGTCTATTTTCATACCCTTATCTGAAGTCAACACCGTTTAAGGTCTTAGGTTTTAGCGAAGGAACCAACTGTGGGTATAAACCTCCTCGTTCTGTCTGCACTGTAAAAAAAAAAAGCATCAGAGCTTTCTGAAACCTTTGCATTGCTAAGCATTGCCTTATGTGGGTTGGACACAGGAGTAGAGTCCAGATTTGATATCTGGTTTCAAAACTTACAACAGTTTAATGAAAGCTATAATCTATAAAGAACCAGAAACACTTTCCTTTAAATCCAAGTGCACAAACGAGCTAATTATCAATGAGATACAATCAACAAGAAGCAGAAACTATGTGACTGAAACAGGATGCCAGTTCACCACATATGCTGTCTACAAGTTAAAGTTGACTGATCTGCAGAGATTAAAAACGTTTTTTTCAGAAATTCAGCTCAAAGCAGGGTTATCTGCAGACTTAGCCGTGGGGATTCATAATTCATACCATAAAACATGGAGCAAACAATTCGCTAAGTTCAACTCATTTTGTTGGAACGATAGGGTCACAGTATTGTAGACCATGTAATACTAATAAAGTCAGTTTTAAGTAGTGAAAATTGTTTTTTTTACAAGATTGGTAGATGTTTTGGAATTCTATAAGAAATAATTTCTGTAGCTTTATGAACCTAAATGTTTATAGTTAAGGTCAAACAATAAATCAATAATATTAAACCCTTTTTAAATTTCAGGTTTCAGAGTCTTTATTATCCCTAATGGTCAATTTGTCATAACAGAAGCACAAACAATAAGTAAAATACTACAGTGTGTTAGGAATCCAGTTTGTGTTTTTGTGTGTTTTCCCTCCACCACCAGGTGGCGCCTGGTTCTCGTTGGCCCTCTCACACACCTGCGGATGGTTGCCTCATTACCGGAGGACTCTTAAGCTGCTGACTGCCACTACCTCTACTACCAGTTTTG